TTATTCAATATTCAGTATTATTCAATTATAATATAGAGCAATGTTTTTCTGTTGACGGATATAAAGACAATTGTAATTACACTGGTACGTAACAAGATGCAAAGACTAAAGTGTGTTCCCTGCAGCCCTTAATGCAAAAAAAGCGGCAACGGCAGATGTTTTGTGTCGCTGTGAGGAGCTAAGACAATTTTTACAAGTATGTATGAGGGGTAGGCCTTCTCGGCCCTTGCACCGCGACCTACAGTGGTCTATTGTGCTTATTTTCAGAAGTAATTATAGTCATATTAATGATTTAATCTACGAGTCTTCCTAGCGATAAATATTAAATTGTAAGATTTGAGGTTTTCACGGCGGTGACTATGAAGAAAGCCGTCTTCTGGGATGTGGCGCCGTGTAGATAATGTGTTAATCGACGTTTCGGAGGAACGTATCGCCTCCATCTTCAGGGTAGAAGACAAACGAAAATCCGCGAGCGAGGAACCAGTATGAGCAGGTGCTGACAGCACTTGAAAGCGTTTTACACACCAACTGCTTCTTCTCACGCTCGGCAATGAAGAATTTTGTTATCCGTAGTTATCATCTCTCCTTCGAACTCCCTCTGTTGCAGCTATAATTTAGTTTTCTGACTTACTTTCACTTTCGGCATAACTACAGAAAGCTAAACAAACTTAACTACAGACTAGTCACCACTAATGTGAATGACCCCCCGTTTCAAATGAAGAAGCGTAACGAACCTCATGGAGACTTCGGAAATAAATAAGTGAAGTCCCTTATCGATTGAATAGTATTACGTTGATAGCGGCTACATGTGAACGCTTCCGACTAATCTCTTCGCGGCCACTTTGATGGTACGCGGATGAGGCAAGTTACGAGTAGAGGGATCGGGGAAGTCCCGGCCTGGGTATTGCATCAGAAATATGAATCGAGGCTCAACTTGCTAGTTGTATGACGAAATGTTGCGAATCAAATATGCGGCATATCCTTATACGGAAAAGAAAAATCGTATACGCACGACTATGATTGCAAATTTGAACATAATGTTATGGCCCAAATTTGAGATTGAAGAGGGTATTCTATTATCTAAAAGCTAGAGACTTGCGAAAAGAGTTTCGCAGCTATTGCCGTAAATTGTAAACACCGGGACTGGCAATTAGGTTAAGAATGTGAAGACTCAGCAAGTCTCGGTGTACTCACAAAGCCAGTAGCTTACCTCACTCGTACACTGGATTCAATCGCAAGAGACTGCTTACACAGCAATAAGACGCAAGGGGTCCGCCCACAACCACCCAGGAGAGCCAATGAGGAGGTTATTATGAGGATTGAGGGCACTGAGGGGGAGTCACCTACCCTCTGTCGTCAATGCCGAATCAGCGAATTAAAACGATAAATTAGGGAACTTCGGGGGATTTGAATCATGTTCTATCACAGAATATTCGGTTGTCAGCCGGAGGCTCTCGGCGACATGTATACCATAAGAGGGTGGATGACGGCAGTGATCTACATATGTATTGCAAGTAAGTCTCTTTGCTCATATACGCCATGCTGTTAAAGGTTGTTGTTAATACAAGTGTTATTGTGAGATAATGAGGCAG